GAGCTCACTGTCTGAGTTCCCCTTAGTCAGTTGTAGGGTCCCAAAAGGGAAGGTCCCGTTCCCTGGAGGTGCCTCTGGCTGGTGGCTATATTGTCTCTCTGGGCAGTCGCTGGTAGGGTTGGCGGAGGGGAGAAGGAGGCAATATGGCACCTGCCATGCGGCTGGGGTCTGTGCACACGGAGGTGCCCCGAGGGATTTGGGAGCCTTGCGCCGCGTCCGCTGCAGGCTCACCACTCTCTGGCAGTGGTCGTCTCTGGGCCGGTGTCCTCAGATCTCTCCACCCGCTGGGGAGCCCACCAGCAGTTCCAGATGCAGGGGAGGGGAAAGGTGACTGATCCACCTACCCTTCCCGCTGGTCTCCGGGCTGCTCCGGCAGTCTCAGCTTCCAGTTTTCCTCTGCAATTTCCTCCCGTGGTGTCTCCCATGGTCTCAGGTACCCTTCCTTCTGGCCCTCGTCCGCTGTATGCTCATCTTCTTGCTTCTTTTTTCTAATTTTTGCTAGAATCTGTCTTTTCTGCAGAGACACTCTGTCTGGCGGTGTTTCTCGTCTGCCATCTTGATCCAATCTCTGTCTTTTCATTTTTATTTATACTGCTTTGGATATTTTGAGCTTCTTGAATATGTGAATTGGTTTTTCATCAGTTCTGGAAGTTATTTTCAGAAGAGCAACATCAGTGCTCATGAAGCATTCCTCATCCTCTTTATTACCTTGCAGTACCATCTGGCTGGCCGGCTCAGGTACAGGGTCAATTTTTGCTAGAAGGACAATTGACGTATTACCAGCAGATGGTTACCACAGTGGAATTCTATGTAATGGTGGTTGTATGTGGCTGCAGGATATCTATGTAGCAGGCTTTTCATGCCACTGGGATTGCTCATGGCTCCTGTTTGGGGGATGGTGCTTTAATGGTTACTGGTAACAAAATTACCTTTTGTTAGGGACCGACTTTTTACAGCCCCACCGGACAGAAAAGCAGAGACATCGAGGATGTAATTACACAAGAGGAGGTTTATTTTCTGGCTAGCCAGGGTCCAAGCCCCAGAGCACCAACGCAGTGGCCACTCTTGCAGGCAAGGACCCCGACTGGGGTTGCAGCGTGCCTTTTATCCCTATGGTGCATACGCTATGCAGTGGCTGATCACGCGTGGTCATGCATTGACCTTTAACATGATTGGTTGGCTGGCAGCCCCACTATACAGGGGTCCGAACAATGCAAAGCTGGCGCAAACAAGCAAGCAAGCAACGGTTTCCATGGCAAGCAAGCAACAGTTTCCAGAAGCCGGATGTTAGTTCCGGCTTCACTGGGGTGTGGGCCTTGCAGGTATGCAATGTCTCGACCCCTCACACTTTGAGTTTAATGGCAGCTTTTGTTTTTTTCATGTTTGATACATCTGCTACTGTGAAAATATGAGATAACATAGATAAGGTGAAGCAAAGAATGACATTCAGAAGTTGAAGAAGCCCCCCATCAACTGACATAGATAGTGCCATGGTATAATGAAACCTGTGGAGAGTTTATTTCTTCACTTTATAAGAAGTTCATGAGAAGTTTTATATTCAGACTTCATAGGTGATATTATAACAGTGACCTGTCAGAGGTGTTCCAAAGATTCTTGCATGCCACAAATTTCTCCCAACATTTTATGACCCACTTGAACATCCTTGAACTCATCTAGACTTTTACAACTGTCTTAACAGTTTAAATTCTTCTCATGGTAGTGAGTCTGTCTTTAACTAATTGACAGAACAACTAGAGGTACCCTTAGAAGGTTATCTAGGTAAACACACTGGTGAATTGCCCATAAGGGAGCCCTGCAAGTTTGTTTCTGATGGTCTGAGGTTACATGGCTATAAAACCATAAGTGAAAAAAACATAGTCCTAATTAATGATATTGCAATTAATATCAGCAATAGCATTGAAGGAAATGTTGACAGTTAAAAGAATTTTAACTGGAGGGAAAGTAAGGCAACTGCTATGTATTTTTTCTTGGTGGTAGAACCAATTGTCTTCAGGACTGATTTTCGTGAGGAAATAAGCTCTTATTTGATCTTTCTCACACATGGCAAAGGTTGAGAGGATTGTTATCTTCTTTCAGTGAAGAAGTTCAGCCTACAGATTACCTGACCTATGGGTTTGGTGACTTGGTGATGGCTGCTACATTGTTTTACCTGATATTGAAGAAAATTGTGAGGTATGTAATATTTAAAGAGGCATACATCTCCTTTGCAAAGAAACATATGCTTTGAATGTGTCCCCTCCAAAGTTCAAGTGGTAGTATAAAGAAGAGAGGACTTTCAGTGGTGATTGTGTCATGAGGGCTCCTCCCTCGTGAATGGAATCAAGGCCCTTATGACAAAGGCTTCACACAGCCTTTACTCTCTTGCCCTTCTGCCTTCTGCCACGTGAGGACACAGCATCCCTCCCCTCAGGAGGAAACAGCAGAAGGCGCCATCTTAGAAGCAGATAATGTGCCCCTCACCAGACATTGAACCGGCCAGCACCTTGATCTTGGACTTTCCAGCCTCCAGAACTGTGAGAAATAAATTTCTGTTCTTTATAAATTACCCAGTCTATGGCATTGTATTATAGCATCACAAACATACTAAGACATCTTTCTTACCATAAATGTATACAACATACAGAATTTAGTTCAATAGCTTTTGAACATTCTTAATAAAAATTAATTTGTATGACTTATAAATTATATGTCAAATTTACATGAATAAGTATTGAACTTGTTCTCTTTATTATTTCACTATGTTCTTGATACAGAATTACTTATCTTTGCCACTCTTTTATTTTATGATACTAAGGTGAACCTTAGCTTGGCTTTCCTAGATTATCACAAATATTTAGTTTCTGAGTAAATTATTATTTTCTGTTTGTCAAATTTAATTTGATATTCTCCTGGTTGCAAATGTACAGCTTCCAGTAATCTGAATTATCATTGGGATGTAGGAACATACTTTATTCTCAAATTTGGGAACAGTAGTGACTTCTACTCAATATCTTCAAGAAATTTTTGAACTTTACACATTAATAGAAATACATTTTTCCAAAGTAAGTGAGATACTATTTCTATTCTGAGACAATCAAACTTGGACTACATTATGCTGAGAAATCTTAAGTGATGATTGAAAGCAATACATTGGATTTGAGAATTTTGAAGCCATTGCTATCTTTAATAAGAAGGAGATTTGTGTAGGAAGTATGGATGCATTTACCTTAACAGTAGATAAATGCAAATTTTGTCATTTCCAGAGGAGGGTAACAATGGTGATGAGGGAAACTTTTGAAGGAACTAGAGTTATTATCCAATGTCTGCCTCAAATCACATAAAATGCTACCATTTATTAAAGGAGTAGTCTTCTTGATATGCATATTCTTGAATTAAAGTGATAAAAATAATTTTGATATAAGGGACTTTATTTTCTTTAGAAGTTGAATGTGAGGGAGTATGATATAATGGCTGAGCCTGAGGAGTTTGCAATCACATTTAACTTGGTTCCATTTGAAGTGCACCATTTAGTAGCCTTGCATCCTTTCAGAAGTTATTTCATCTCCATCATTTTATTCTCTCCACCTGTAGGGATGAAAAGGGTATTTATCTCATTGGGTTGATGTGAAAATTAAACAAAAATATGATGTATAAAAAGCCATTAGTACAATTCTAAATAGAAAATAAAATGCTTAAAAATCACTCAATAAATTTCAGTTATTTATATTGCAGCATGATGACTCTCCGGTCACTAGAAATAGTAAGGCTGCTTATCGGAATTGTGGTCGAGTGTGAATTAATGCAGAACTTCATGCATATAGTTAGTTGTCCTTTAAAGTCCATTCTGAATCTGAGACATTACATTTATATCAATCTAATGTGTAATAATTATCTAAAAGTAGAATTATATTTTTTAAATTATATGATTACATTAGGATGTAATTTATAGTTTTTTCTATAGTGTTCCTTTTGTGAACACTGTATAATGTACTCATTAGCTAAGTCTTATATCTTTCCTTAAGATAAAACAAGAGAAGGGAAATAATGAAAGCACATAGCCTTAACAAAATGAGGGAAACATAGTGGGAATCAGGATTAAGAGACCAAACATTTTTGAACATAAAATATTAATTATTTTAAAGCAGAGTTGTGTCAAAGGCTGACTTTGAGTCCTTTACCGCTCTCTCAACTCCCTGTATACTTTGTTTTGGGCCGTTGGCCTTATCACATTGTTAGGTTCAAAGGCACCTTTGAGACCCTCCATTCCACGAATATGGGCTCCTCTAAGTCCCTTGCCTGTGTGTGTTCTGGAGGTGCCACTAAACTTGGTGACAGCCTCAGGAGACAAACTTGAAAAACCTTTTTACTCAGATTAAATTATTAACTAACTTTCACTTTCATTTAGTTTACCAGAGGTTTCCCCACCTGTAAAGAGGTACTGATTATACTCTCCAATCAACAGCCACAATTCTGTCACGTCATCAGTTACCAGGGGATGCTGCTTCTTGAGGTGTCCACAGCATCGCAGCATTTTCCAGTGTTGAAATATCTGAAAGACCACAGGGCCTTCATTTCAACTGTGAGAGGTTAAGTCATTTTCCCAAGTCTACAACACTAAATTATGGTACAAGAAGGACCAGATTAAGGGTCTCCTGACTTGCAGTCATGTTCCCTCCATCCCCTTTCTCCTAAACCTCCGTCTTAAAGCGGGAGACGAATGTTTCCACGAGGCTCAAACCTGTGAGTGAGCACATCACTGACCAGCCACAGAGCCGGCTCACAATACGGGACCAATTAAAGTGTTTCAGATGCAACTGGATTAAACCCTTAAAGCACTAAATTAAAACAATCTTTTAATGAAGGAAAATCGAAGTTTCAGAAGAGGACCTTCATAGGGAATCTCTGACCAGCAACTGATGATGCTGTTCACTTCTGATGCTGATTGGTTCTCCCACACTAAGATTACCCAATCAAGGAGCAAAGCAATGAATACCCTGGTTCCTATTATTTGAGCTGTGGGTGGAGGAGGGTCATAGTTCTTACTGAGCTAGACGAGGCGTGCTAGTCTAGCACCTGTCCTTTCCTGTTCTCCAGCATGGTGTGTCTGTGGTTCCCTGGAGGCTCCTGGACGGCAGCTCTGGCAGTGATACTGATGATGCTGAGCCCTCCCCTGGCTTTGGGTAGGGACACCCGACGTAAGTGCACACCTTGGGTGCTGGGGTCTTGCGGGTGGGGAAGAAAGGGAGTTAATTTTGTCTCTGTGTCCAGGTTATGTCCCTTAAAAAATTGTGACATTGTCTTCAGGGACCACCTATGTTTATCACATGGATCCCAAATTATTTCTGCAGTAAAAGAAGCCTGGCTACTTGCCCTCTCTATGAGACCTGTGTAAGAGGCCTCCTTATAGAGTGTTTCTTCTCAAATCTCCTTCAGTAAAACCTCTCCAGATTTGTATCACATTTCTTCAGGGTCTTGAGAGGATTTAGAAATAATGATGTTAAAAATAAATTCCCCTTACAGCACTTCCCTTTATTATGTTGAGTCATGCCAGAAAAAGGAAAGTTTCTCTGAAAATTTTATGGGGAGTCAGGAATTCAAAGGGTCTCTTCTAGAGGATCCTGTGTTATGTCCTGAACAGGATCTGTGGTGTCGGTGCCTCTCCCTAATGTGTGAGGATGTATCGAAAGGCCCCTCTCATAATCTTCTTTCTTTCCCCCTGAATGCCAATGTTCATAAAGCCTGGATCCCCACACTAGAGGTTCTCTGACAGGAGTTGGGTTAGTTCTCTCTCCTTCTCCTGGGGAAAGCAGCCTGGAGCTGAGGCAGAGATCCTTCATACTTGGAATGACCCTATAGATAAGGAGCATCTACGCTGTGTTCTTTCCCCTTAAAGGACTTAAGGCATCCTCTGAAACCTGGCATATGTTAGTGTTCATCATGAATCTTCTTTGAACCTTTCTATATTAGTTTCTCCTCTACCTACCATATTCTCCAGTCTGAGCTTGTAAGAAGGGATTTAGCTAGTGTAAAATAAATTATATAAAGTTCTATTTTGGTAAGTCAAAAATAGTCAAATATTAGCAATTTCATGTGGTTCAAACCATATACTTCGAGTGGGATTACAGAGAAAACGTGAAGGTTGTTATCATCCAATAAAGCTGAAAGCCAATAAGCAAGCTAAGCAAACTCATTGTTCTACTGGGGCCTTGTTCTAAATTTCATGAATTCAGTTTCATTCATCATGCCTATGTTTTCCTTAATTAGCCACATCTGGTTACTTCATTGCTGAAAATCCCTGAAGCTTACCCAAACCCTCAGCACTATGAAATCCATCAAAAGAGATGAAAGTTAATGAAAATTTCCCCATTTCCTAAAATCACCATTTCCTTACCTGTGACTCTTTCTTCAACTAGAAGGAGGAGAAAGCAGAAGTTGCCTGAATTTCTCACAGGGAGTGGAAGGGACATGGTGTGTCATCAGAACAAAAGAGTGTTGGAGCTTGAGCCCCTTCTTACTTTCCAAGATCCCCTCAGTGATTAATTCCCAGAACCCTAGTTTATTCATGTAGATCACAAATATTTTTCTGAGCAAGTATTATGTACTAGGCTCTGTTCTAGGCTCAGAGAATTCTATTTGAATAAGATAGAAAAGGTCCTTGCTCTCATGTAACATACCTAATATCAGAGAAGAAAGAAAATAACACGATAAACATTTAATGAAAAAGAAAATTTCATAGAGAAATAAGTACTCTGAGAAAAAGACAAGGTGATTGGAGGCAGAAAATTAGATTCATCCAACTTCAGTTCACGTGGTTACGGAGTTCTCCCTGAGAAAGTGACATTTAGCTGAGACAAGAATAATGAGAGACAGCTGTGTGAAGATCTGCGGGACAAGTGTTCCAGGGGATGGAACGGGAAAGGCTAAGGTGTAGGAAGGTGTGTGCTGTGTTTAAGGCAGACAAAGAAAGCTAGAAGGGCCGACTTATAGCGAGCAAAGCGGTGGGGCGGCATGGGACGAGGCAGGGTGGAGAGGAAGCCAGGAGCCTCATCGGATTGGGCCCTGCTGGCCCAGGTAAGAAATCTAAATTTTATTTAAATAGATATGGGAAGCTACTGAACTGTTACAAGGAGAGTCAATTTATATTCAATTAAAAATAATTCTAGCTACTAAGGAGACTGGATAGTTGGGGTTCATGAGCAGAGTCAGGGAGACCATTTAGGAGCACAGCAGAATTCTCCAGGGAAGACAGGCTTGTGGCTTCATTTAGTGCAGTGGTGATAAAGATGAAGTGAGCATATTCGAGATACGTTCTTGCATAACTTGTTAATGGGTTAAATCTGAGGGGAGTAGAAAATCAAGCTTATTCCTTAGGATTTTGTCTTGATAAATAGGTGGATGGTGGTGCTGTTTGTTGAGATTGGGAAGAATGTGGGAGGAAACAATCTGAAGTGGGTAGTTAGAAATAAAGGTTTTGTTTAAGGTAAGTTTGAGGTGATTTTTTTATATTTACGTGAAGTCATCAGGAGGTCGGTTGAATATAAGACATTGGAGTTCAAGGTGAGGCCAGAGCTGAAGGTATTTATGTTGGCATCGCTGACACACGTGCTGTGTTAAATTCCAGGGAAATAGAAGAGGTTGCATCAGGAGATAGACCATGTGTAGGAAAAGAGGACAGGGCTCAGGGCCAGCAAAGGGGACTGAGAAGGAGCCCCGTGACGTTGGAGAAAACCCAAGAAAACATGATTCATGAAAGTCAAGGAAAATAGATTGTTTTCAGGGATACGGGGAGGGTGGCCAGTTGTGGTGACTACCACCAAGAGGCAGGTGAAGTGAGAATGTGAGAGAGAAGCAAGCACCGGGGTTGGTGGACTTGACATTTGAGTCAGTTCAGTACCCAGGCTGGAAACTGGGTTGGACCATTCGAAGAGCAAGTAGAAGTGAGGGCTGGATTGTGGTTGGCTCTTTTGAGTAACAGGCCTCAGGGAAGGACGGTGCTCTGGAGGCAGGGAGCCAGCTGGGCCTAAACAAAAGGAATAAACAGGCTGTAGAGAAGCAACAGAACTTGAGAGAGATGTTCAGGCGTTAGCAAGGACACAATAGCTGGCCCTTGTATACACTGGTGACTGGTTATGCAAAAACTCATTAACTCATACTGCTAATATTTATTAGTGACTTAGAATATACCAGATATTTACAGAATATTTGGATATGCCTTTAAAAAAAAGAATATATCAAATATTACGCTACTTGATGAGAAGGGAGTGGTGAACAAAGTTGGTCTCTAACAGCATGGAGCATTGTAACATTTTGTAGTGACTATGTACCAGGCCTATACATGTCAGTATGCAATGCTAATAACTATCCTTTCATATCTGCAGCATTTAAAAACATATATTTCTATGGAATCTAAAATTCAAAGGTTATAAGTAACTTACTCAGTGTCACATTAGTGCTAGAAATGAGATTGCAGTATAAATCTGAGTGTATAGAAGGTCCCTCTTTTCTATGTTGGCACACTGTTTTTGTGTTAGATTTAGGTATATTGCACTATTATACATAAACCAGCATTGCAGTACTTATATGTTCAAAATGTTAATTATTGACAAAATTAATAGAAGACAATTGCCAAATCATGATGAATTATTTGCAAGCTTGCATTTACAGGGATTATACAAATTAAGATGCAAATATATTTGAGTGTTCATTATGTGATCAGCACTACAAACAGTCACTACTTAATTTTACACTTAACAGTAATCTTGTGAGACACCTGCTATTATTAAATCCACTCTATAGATAAAGAAAAAAGCCTCATGCTTGTTAAAAATTAACCTAAGTAGAAGAGATCATTTTTAAATTCATATTTTCTGATTCTAGAGCCTGAGAGTCCAACCATCCATAGTGAATAGTAATAAGATTGGCTCTGAATTACTGATAGAATTTCTGATATTCATATGTGCCAGGGTGTGTCTTAGGGTGGGGGAAACATGCAAGGGCTGCTAGTTCCAATATACAGGAGAAACTTTAATTAATTTTGTATTTGAAAGTTCCATATAGGTTCACACGATGTGCTGGCTAGCATGGGCATGTGCTGAAGAACACAAAGAAGTATTAAATCCCTTCTTTTTCTGAGGTTTTGTTAGCAAGTTGGGCTAGCGTTGTCAAATAAAATACAAGATGCCCAGTGAAATCTGGATAAACAACAACAATTTATTTGAAATCCAAATTTAACTGAGTATCCTGTGCTTTTTATTTGCTAAATCTGGCAACCTTAAGTTGGGCACATGAGCATAGACTACAGTTCCAGCTATGTAAGCTACAGTGACGGCAACTTCACATATTTTTATTTTTTAACTTGCTCATCTGTGAAGAAGGTTATTAGAGGATTTGTGAATAATAAGATCAATCTTGTCTGACTCAGAGTGCACTCCTCTTACAAGGCAAAAGGAGGCTTGTGAACGTCTCTATTCAAAGTCTGGGGACCTGCTCATTTTTGGTAAACTCTATACGAGAATATCATCTTCTTAGTCTCTCCCCTTCTGAGGGGACTTGACTACAGAAATAAGAGGTCTACGTCTGGCCAACGCTGGTAATTTGATGCCCACTTGTATTGTTGGGAATAAGAGACCGAAAGTTAGAAAATGCGTTAGTTGGGGCATTGAACAGGAATAAAATGGCTGTGGCTGTAGTTTATCACTATAGATAAGCAGTGGATCAGTGGCAGAGAAATTAAGAAGGAAGGTGATGTGAAAGATAAATTATATGACTTGGTATCTGAAGGGCAAGGCAAAGAAATCAATAAACCTTGGTTCTGAAAAAATTTACTTTGCTAGAAAAATAGTACTTTTTATTTTCCTTTTTAAATCCAGAAAGCCCAGAAATCTAGTTGTTTTCTTAATTTGGTGCCAAAACTCATTTGGCAAATCTGATCTGAAGAGTTAAGGGGTCAAACATGTTTCAGACTCTTATTGGTGACATGTGCTTCTGCCATTTCAATATATATAAACATATGTGTGTAAATATGCACATATATGCTGTGTATGTATATATATATATATGTTTTTGTTTTTATGTTTACTTGAACTGTGCAAATGTCAAAAAGTTAAAGAATAATTGTTCTGCCTTGGGACTGGATTCCTAAAAGCATAAGCTTTATGTAGGACAAAGATTTTCAACAGATATAATTTTGGTGGATTTTTTTAATGTAGTTCTCAGCTGCTCTATGATTAATGGTGGCTTTTTCACCACAGGTTTTTCAGATGGTTTACACCAGTGGTTCTCACCCAGGGAGAGTTCATCTTCCCTCCCTTCCTGTCTACCTACCTTCCCTCCTTCCACCCCCCTGGGGAACATCTGGCAATGTCTGGAGCCATTTTTGGTTGTCACAGCAGGAATTTCTTATGACATCTAATGAATAGAGGCCAAGGACACCAGTAGACAGTCCCCCAACCTGGCCCCCAAATAAAAACTGTCTGGTCCAAAATGTCAGTAGTGTCAAGGTCAAGAACACTGGTTTACACTGTGTTGCTTCTAAATAATTTTAGACTCATACTTTTTATTAATATATTCACCTCCCAGGTCAGGTCTTCTTGATTTATTTTCACTTGTTTCATTACCAAACTAGATAGCTGCATAAATTCACCACTTTCTTGTCCAGTCCATTCAATCAGTGCAAGTTTAAGATGTTCAGTTTTATTTTTAGTCCTCAAAATTTTGGTGAGTTCTTGGTTATCACTATATCAATTTTCAACAACTTGCTATTGTAAGTCATAAATATTGATGATTGCTGCAAATATTTTTGAGTTAAATGCCTCAGATTTCTGAAGTAATTCTTCATTCTATACTGTTGATAATGTAACATGCTTCCATCTATTCATCTCACTTTTATTAACCACAGCGATTATTCTTTAACTTTTTGACATTTGCACAGTTCAAGTAAACATAAAGACAAAAACATCAACATCAATATATATATACACAGTATATATGTGCATATTTACACACGTATGTTTAGATATATTGAAATGGCAGAAGCACATGTCACCAATAAGAGTCTGAAACATGTTTGACCCCTTAACTCTTCAGATCAGATTTGCCAAATGAGTTTTGGCACCAAATTAAAAAAACAACTGGATTTCTGGGCTTTCTGGATTTAAAAAGGCAAAAAAGGATTTGTGGACCTATATTGGGAGCATGGTTATAACCTCCTTAAACTTCTTTGGTAGTTTCCCACTGCATTTAGTATAATCCAAACTCCTAACACCGTACACAAGGCTTTTATGTGCCTGACTTTGTGCGATTTCTCCAGCCTAATCTTACAACTCCGTCCCCTCACTCTGTGCTTCAGTGAACTTCCCTCTCGTTTCTGGCAGAAGTTTCTCGATTCTTTCGAGCTTTTGCGGCAGGTTCTACCTTTACCTGGAATGTGCCTCCCTTCTTGTCCAGACACGGGCACGCGCCCACTCTGTCCCCTGCCCACACCAGTGGCCTTCCAGTCGCATCGTCGCCGCACTCTTCGGACGGCCCTGCTCCGGCTCCAGACGCCCCACTGGAAGGGGATGACCAGAGGGCAGATTCGCGCGCAGGCCGGGGGCAGCACGGCCGGCCCACGCGCGGGTGGGCTGAGTCCAGAGGAGAGTCGGCACAGAGGGCTCGGTGAGGGCTTCACACTCGGGACGGCCGAGCCCTCCCCTGCCCTGTTCAGTTCCTTGTTTCTGGCCAAACCCGCAGGAGAAAGTCGCTTCCTGCTACGAGCAGCTCGCGTCCTGTGTGGCAGAGCACGGTGGCAGAACGGCTGCTTCTAGCAAATTCTTCTTCCAACAACCAACTCCTGAGAGCCCTCTGCCCGGTCGCGTCCGTCCTTCCGCTCCCGCGTGGTCCTCATCAGGAGAGCTGGGAGGACGGCCTCGGCCTCCACCAGTGCGGGAGTGCGGGGGGCGACGGGTCTGCAAAGCCCGCAGGCCCCTGCGGCTGTGGCTGCACTGCCCGAGTCCCGCGCTGACCGCGCTCGTCCCCGACGTGCTTTCGTCCCGCCTGGAACGCCCCAACTCTCCGACCGCCCCAACTCTCAGATCGCCCCGACACTCAGATTGCCCCACACTCAGATCGCCCCACACTCAGGTCGCCCCACACTCAGGTCGCCCCACACTCAGATCGCCCCACACTCACCACACTAGATCGCCCCGACTCTCAGATCGCCCCGACACTCAGATCGCCCCGACTCTCAGATCGCCCCACACTCAGATCTCCCCGACTCTCAGATCGCCCCGAGACTCAGATTGCCCCGACTCTCAGATCGCCCCACACTAGATCTCCCCGACTCTCAGATCGCCCCGACACTCCGTCACGGGGGCGGGGGCCGCGCTCCCTGGCAGCCCTCAGCCCTGCGCGGTCCCGCATGTTCCCTTCACTGCGCTTTAAGCTCCGCAGGGGAGAGTCAAGCTCCCCCCCCCCATCCGCGCGAGGCGCCCGCGGGTTCGGGAAGGACGCGGCGGGGTTCGGGGCGGGCCGGCGGCGGCTGGCCGCAGAGGCTGGCGGGGTGTCCCGCGGCTCGGCCCGAGGTCCGGCTGGGGAGAGGCCGGGGGCTTGGCGGGGTGGGGTGGCGCCCCGCCTGTCCCCGTCCCCGCCCGCGCCGCACCGTGGGCGTCGCGGTCAGTGTCGGCCCGCGAGGCGGCGCGTGACCGGACCCTCCGCGTCCCCACAGCAGGTTTCCTGATGCAGCCTAAGTCTGAGTGTCATTTCTACAACGGGACGCAGCGGGTGCGGTTCCTGGAGAGATACATCTACAACCGCGAGGAGTTCGTGCGCTTCGACAGCGACGTGGGCGAGTACCGGGCGGTGACGGAGCTGGGCCGGCCGGACGCCGAGTACTGGAACCGCCAGCAGGACATCCTGGAGCGGAGGCGGCGCGTGGACACGTACTGCAGACACAACTACGGGGTCATCGAGAGCTTCACCGTGCGGCGCCGAGGTGAGCGGGCGGCGCGCCAGGGCCTGTGGGCGAGCGGAGGTGATGCGGCCGGGTGGGGCTGCGGGGCGGCGTGACCGCGGTGGCGCTGTGGGCGGACGTGACTGCGTGGGCGCTGTGGGCGGCGCGTGACCGCGGTGGGGCGCTGCGGGGGGCGCGTGACCGCGATGGGGGGCTGTGCGGAGCGTGACCGCGTGGGGGCTTGGCGGCGGCGCTGACCGCGATGGCGCTGCGGGGCGCCGTGAGCGGTGGGGCGCTGCGGGGGGGGCGCGTGACGCGATGGGGCGCTGTGGGGCGGAGCGTGACCGCGTGGGGCGTGGGGCGCGCGTGACCGCGGGGGCGGCGGCGGTGCGTGACCGCGGGTGGGGCCTGCGGGCAGCGCGTGACGCGGTGGGGCACTGCGGGGCGGCCGTTGACGCGTGGGGCTGCGGGCGGCGCGTGACGCGGTGGGGCGCTGCGGGCGGAGCGTGACCGCGTGGGGGCTGCAGGGCGAGCGTGACGCGGTTGGGGCGCTGCGGGCGGGGTGCGTGACTGGGAGCGCTGCGAAGGGCTTTGCTTGGGCTGTCCTAGGGGGCGGCTGGGGCTGGACCCCATGGGCCTCAGATGCGGAGGGAGCTTGCGTGTCCGGTTGCCCGGGCACTAGCGGAGGGAGAGGAGAGAGTTGTGAACGGTTGGGGGCACGTGAGGTGCCATCAGCACAGGACTGTCCGCAACGACGCCTTGGTGATCTGACACCTCCTGAAATGAGTGAGTGTTGTTTTGATAAACATTTCATTCGGAAAAAGTATTAGACTGATTTTCAGGGGAAGTGAGGAAGCCTCTGGAGGCACTACTGCCTTTCTGAAGTTCTTTCAGTCTAATTTTTGAATCTTTTCTCACCGTAATATTTTTTATATTGGAAATATTATGAAACTAGTTTTCAATTCAAATTTGTTAACATGGTTTATTTTATAACAATGGTAATATGATTAAGTAGTTACGTATATACCTTTAGACTTAAAAATGGTTAGCTCTAATAATATTAACTTATTTTCATGGAGACAGATTATTCAGCCAATGGAATAAGAATTTTTTAAATGAAATGACTTTCCTTACTCCTGTCTCTTCCTTTGAGGGTATGTTTTCTAAGATGAACTTCACAGAGTTAGAGACTCTTTCTGTTCCTCCTTCTTCAGGCAAGCCGGTTTTGTGGTGTGTCTATTGTGAAGGTAGCCAATTCATAAACTTCATACTCCTCACCCTGATCTACTGCTCTGATTCCCAGTTATATTAGCTTTGATATACTTTTCTCTCAGAGGTATACAAGGACAATAAATAATAACAGAAATTGAATGGCTGCGTGCAAGTCATAGTCATGTATTTTGAGTGCAATTGATCTCAACATGATCCCATGAATAAGATAACTAGTATTTATTCCTGCCTATTAAAAGGTGAGAAAGATGAGCCCCAGGGGAGGATTGAAAAACTCTCCCAGTGTTGACCGTAGAGCTGGATCAACAGGCAGTTCTGGCCCAGAATCACACTGTTTAATATTATAATAGCATTGCCATCAAGTTTTCAACCCTCAACTTTGTAATAATAGTCTAAGCTATGAAAAACAAACACAATTTCCTCAACTATCTCTCAACTGATAGGTCCTTGCTGTAAGATATAATTTCAAGGCCGCGGACAGACACTGCTGGCCCGCAGGCCAGGCTTTGCTCGAGGCTACCTGAGACCGAGCCTGATTTGGAAGAGCAGGACAGACCACCAAGGAGGCTTATCTGGTATATCCTCACTTATCCCTCTATCTTCCTCCTAGCTAGCTAAGGTGACCCGTGTATCCTGCAGAAGACTCAGCCCTGCAAGGCCACAACCTCCTGTCTGCCTCACGTGACGGTTTCGTTATCCAGCAAGCATTGAAGGTCAATGGCTCCGGACGATTGGCCGAGAAGAGGAGGCCGCCGTGTCTCCCTCCACAGGCCTGATCCGGAACGGAAGACTTGGACCTTCCAGACCCTGGTGCATGCTCGAGACAGTTTCTCAGAGTGGAGAGGTTTACACCTGCCACCGTGGAGCACCCCAGCCGCCGCGAGCCCTGTTCAGTGGGATGGGAGTGAGCAGCTCCAACCTCACACAGTCCCGCCCACCGGGAGGGGACTCTGTAGCCCGCGGTCAGGTTATCTCCTCTCCCACGTCGTTTTCATTTGCTCCGTGTTGTCCTGCCCCTTCAGCAAGTCCACTGGGTAGCCTGTGGAGTTTCAGAATCACTTTACCCTGAAGGATCATTCTGGCAGCAGAAAAGTGTCTGTCTGTTTGTTGAACTTTCAGATGTTCGGAAGAGTCATGATCACCCCGTGGCCCTGGCACCAGCCCTGCCTGTGGGGCTTGGGATTGCACTGCTGTGCCCGCTGCTTGCGCTCTGGTGTCCCTTTGCATCTGAGAAGAAGGAGCGTGGTAGGGATGGGGGGCTTCCTGAATGCGAGGGGGTCAGGATCTCAGGGGCTTTCTCCTTTATTAGCCCTGTCACTCTAGGACAAGCTACTTACCTCACTGAGTTCAGGCTTTTTGTGTCAGATGTTCAGCCCTCTTTATGTCAGGGTGTAATATTATTAAAAGGAGTTCAATGCCTGAACCTTGTAGCGACTGAGTGTGATGCATTTATAGTCTCTTCCAGAATGCCAGTATTTTTGGTGCTTCCAAGGCATTCTTCCCCCATTCTCAAAGCTTTGAATCACAGGGTCCTCAATTACAGAAGTTGGATTGGTAAAAATCCCCCCATTAACGTGCTTTTCTTCAGCGAAGCAGAGTCTGAACTGCGCAGGGAAGAATGCTGAAGTGGATCGGGGGCCTTTGTTCTGGGTCTGCTTCTTCCTTTGGGCTGGGGCTGTTCATTACTTATGGAATCAGAACAGGTGAGGAACTTGCTGGAGCTGAAAAAAAGTCCCCCCTATATGCTTTTTGGAAGAAGAAATATGGCCATGCTTGACGCTAGTTAGTGTCGTGACGGCTATGTAAGCCGTCTTTCCAGTTGACCTCAGATTCCCGGAATCTCAAAGTCAACAATTCTTGGTTACTACGTACGTAAAGCGTAAGCTTATGGCCTGTCATTAAAGCTAATGAAATCCAACTGGATTAATAATGTGACAGAAGTGCCGGCACAGGGCTCTCAGTTTTGCTCGCTCTTGCCGCTCCTTTGTGGTCGTGGTGTTAGAGAAATTCATCTGGGATGTGGGCTGGGGACTGTATCTGAGGACAGATTTGTCCCTCTTTTAAGTGTGTATTCCCTCTTTCAGGACATCTGGACTCAGCCAACAGGTAATGCCCTTTCATCCTCTTTGAAAGACAGTTCAGTTTCTCTGAACAATGGTTAAAGGTGGCAAGACACAGGCAGAAGTCAGGGAAAAACATTTTTGGGTCCAAATTCTGGATCAGGCAGTTTAAGTAAAGAGGTCTTCTCTCTTGCTTTAGTAAAAGGATGCTGTGCTTCTGCAGTGCACTGGCATTCAGGAAAGACTTTTAAGATGTCTTTTCTGCTGCTGCAGTTCTCGCAATGAGGCCTGAAGGAAAGAAGCCTGTTTGTAGAAAAAAGTTTTTTTTTTTAAGTTTTGAAACCAACAACTGTCCTCTTGTCTTTCTGCAGGATCCTGAGCTGAAGTGAAGATGGTGGAACACTCAGGAAGAAAATTCCGCCCAGCTTCGGACAATGAGCGAAGTTTTCTGCTTGGCTTGTCTTCCAACAAGAGAGTGCTTTTCTCAAGTCCTTGTTTCGCTCCGGTTCAGTTGGCCCTGCAGAAAATGCCCTCCCTAATGGCCTCCTCAGCCTTGCCCTGTGGCCTGGACGTCCCACGGTTGACTCAGCACCCGTACGTTCATTCTTTCTGGTCCCTTGTACCCAACCCATTACTGCCTCTTTTGCCAGCTGAACTCACTTGCCTGAGTTACTTATTAAATTTTCTTCAAAAACATGGAAGTGAAAAACCATGTGCTTCAACTAGCTTCAAGGAACAAGAAATAAAAAGAGAAGAGAAGATTAGATCCCATACATATAGTGGGTTTTCATTTATACGTGAAAGTATTGTTGAGGTAACGCGTAGTGTTAAGAGCCTGATTCAGCCATTCACAGTTGAACAATACATTCAACATCATGCTGTTACACCATAAATATATATATTAATTTTTTTATAAATTTTAATTTGTCAAAATAAAAGGCAATGTAAAAACTGGACAGAATGGACAACTAAACAACTGAAAAACAAGTATATCTGAAAGAACCCAGCCTTAGGAAAGTCCAGTTACAAATATTTTTCTGTAAATTTTTTCTGTGATCAATAATATTATATTTTTTATGAAAGAGTTTTTGGTTTAATCTTCCAAAAGAAGCAAAAAAAACAAAGGAAAGCCTTTGAATGATGGAGGGTTCTTGCCCCACTTTTTGGTTTTCCAATCTGAAAGAGTTTTTCAGTTTTTCATTTAAAGTAAAACTTTTAAAAAAAAACAGAAAATAAACCAATTCAAGAAAGATTTTAATCACATTTATATCCATGAACCCACAATCCACCTGTCCAGAAGATAACCATGGATCTATTTTTTCCATTCAAATAAAGTTATTTTATGTTATTACTTTGATTTTTAATTAATGTAATATTTGTGCCAACCGCACACTTACCTATAAAAGGATAATAAGCTTGAATAGTTCCCACAGCTGTTTTTTCTGGTTTTTGGGAATCCAGGGTGAGTTTGGGACTTAATACTTGTTGGCCTTTCCCCTGAAAAAAAATTGAAGAATATTTTAATCTCAATCTTAACACAGAACCCGCGGTGTTTGAAAATCACAAAAGCCCCAAGAAATAAAAAAATGTTTATGAAAATACCTTTATCTCAACGAAAGTTTTGGCCCTCTGCCCCTTCGAAGTTTTTTAACAGGGAAGCCCCGTCTTTTTAACTTGGCATCACTCATTAAGTCCACCACAGCAGGGTGGACCCCCCTTGTTTTTTTTTCCCAGGGGCTCCCGAGGGCCCTTTTGCCTAGGTCCACAGCCCGGTTTGGCCATCGTCCAGCCCTTCCTGGAAAAACCTGAAAAAAAAATAGCTCAATCTTCCTGTTTCGTGGCGGCAGGTCCAGCTTTCCTGAGGTTTGTGGAAAGACAACCAAGTGGAATAAGGTTTTTTCATAATTTCTTCCTCACAGCCTTCCAAAAAAGGGCCAAAGGAAAAAAAGGAAAACTATTTTTTCTCTGTTGTTCTTTAAAAGGCAAAACTTAGCTTTTTTTTCCCCACAGTTTTGTCCCTCAAATTAAGAAAACCGCCTTCTCACACACTTGAAAAAGGGCCCATGGGAATCAAGTTGGGGGCTCCAACCGTTGACCAGCCGGGTTTTGGAAAGTTGGCCCTGACAACATGGGAAAAGAACAGGGGGCAAAAAACTCGTTCTTCAAAAGAAAAAAAATGTGGGTGGGGGGGTTTTGGAGAAAAGAAAATGATTTTTAGTTTTGTTGGGGAAAGATGAATTCGACTTATTTTAGAATTTTTTAGTATTGTTAATTTCATGAAAAGGCCCTTTATTAAAAGATTCCCTTTGGGAATAGCATCCTCAATGTTTGAAAGTCTTTTAAAACATTGAAATATTTAAATGACAACCCCAATTTTTACAAAATTATGAAAAAGCAGGTTTAAAAAATTGAATTTGCCCCTTTATTTTTTTAAAAGTTAACAATACAGTATCATTTTTATTGTTATTGTATGAAAAGGAATATAATTTCAGGGAGAATTTTTTTGAAAAACAAAGAAGTTATAATAAGGAATGGGAAGCTCTGCAGGAGTCTTACAAAGAACACATGGTTACAACAATCTGGTTTAATTAAACCATTGTAACTTTGTTTCTTGAATTCATTTGGAAGTTTAAACCCACGCCTGAAAACAGAAAAAGTTTCCCCCCAGCAAAAGTTTTTAATTTATAACCCAGAAACATTGGAGATTTACCTAAAGAATAATTGGAGGTTGCCTCCAATTTGTGAATGAGGCGGATTTTTTCCAACAACTCTT